GAAGAGCGGCAGGGCTGAGGATGACGGCGGCTGAGGGGAGGGATTCCTGCGGCGCCTTGGAGACCTCCTGGCTGTTGGCGACCGAGGTTTTGCCGCTCAGCAAGGTAGCAGAGCCATTCAGGAGGACGGGCGGGCTAGGTGCCGCCACGGGGCTCAGGGTGATGGTCTGGTTCTCCCCGAGAGCCAACCCGTTCAGGATGACGCCTCCGCTGGGGGTCTGGATCACCGATCCTCCATTGAGGAGCATAGTCGGGGAGCTGGCAGTGATGAAGTTGCCGTTCAGAAGGATGGAAGAGGCGCTGGAACAGGCGGCCGGCAGGAAGAGGCCGCCAGAGGCAGGAATCCCTTCGGGCATGGCCGGAACCCCCACGGCGGCTTCGGTTTCCTCGGGGCCATGGCTGGACTCGTCCTCCGTGCTGGGGTTCCCGTCGGATTCGCTGCAGGAGAGAAAGGGTGAAGAATTCTGAAGCGGTGGCGGGGAAACGCTAAGCCAACAGCAAAAATTAAAGTGGATTTTGTGTGTGGGGGGGTGTTTAATTCAGGTTAACAAACCATCACAGTGCTTTTAGCTCCTGAACAACAGAAGAGAAAGAAGAGGTGGAATAGAAGGAGGAGCAGAAGATTGGATTTATACCCCGCCCTTCACTCGGGAGTCTCAGAGCGGCTTACAACCTCCTTCCCTTCCCCTCCACACAACAGACACCCTGTGAGGTAGGTGGGGCTGAGAGAGCTCTTTGGAGGACTGCTCTTGAGATAACAGCTCTGGGAGAACTTGTGACTGACCCAAGGTCATGCCAGCAGCTGCACGTGGAGGAGTGGGGAATCCAACCCGGTTCTCCCAGATTAGAGTCCGCACACACTTAACCACTACACCAAACTGGCTCTCCAGTTGGAAGAACAGTTGGTTTTTATACTGCTTTTCTCCACCCTATTGAGTCTCAAAACGGCTTACAGTCGCCTTCCCTTCCTCTCCCCACAACGGGCACCTTGCAAGGTAGGTGGGCCTGAGAGAGTTCTGAGAGAACTGTGACTGGCCCAAAGTCACCCAGTGGGCTTCATGTGGAGGAGGAGTGGGGGTTCAAATCCCACTCTTCCACATTAGAGTCTACTGCTCTTAACCACTACACCATGGTGGCTCTCTTAAAAATGAGCAGCACACAAGAGGAAAGACTTCTCCGGCCATGGTAGCACGAACCCAACATCTTCCAGTTTGGTGTAGTGGTTAAGTGCGCGGACTCTAATCTGGGAGAACCGGGTTTGATTCCCCACTCCTCCAGTTGCACCTGCTGGATGACCTTGGGCAAGTCGTAGTTCTGTCAGAGCTGTTCTCTCAAGGACAGTTCTGGAAAGAGTTCTCTCAGCCCCACCCAACTCACAAGGGTGTCTGTTGTGGGGAGGGGGAAGGGAAAGGAGTTTGCAAGCCGCTCTGAGACTCCGAGTGAAGGGCGGGGTATAAATCTAATCTCTTCTTCTTCTTCTTCTTCCTGCGAGTGACACTAGAATACGTCCTGCTTGACCCACACCTTACTAGAGTTCAGTTCACACATAAGACCGAACCATGCCTTGTTGCTATGCGGGGGAATCAGCAATCTAGGAGCCGCCAGTCCAATGTTCCCTCTAAGCTGAGTTAGTGTGAGCTAGCTCACAGTGTTTTAGCCTCCAGCTCACAGATTTTTGTTTTAGCTCAGGAAGGAGGGCTCCAGAGCCAACTAATTTATGCAGCAGTTGAATCACTTGCTCACAACTTTGACGCCAGTCGCTCACAAAGTAGAATTCTTGCTCACAGGACTCCACAGCTTAGAGGGAGCACTGGCTACCACTGCCCTCTCTAGCAACAACTGAAGCCTGGTGCCTGGCCTATTGCCGACAGCCTGTCCTCGCCGACCGAAATGACCAACGAGCTGGTATCAAGTGAAATTACAGAATGTCTATGAGGCCATCTTTTGATATTCTAAGTCAGCTGCCAGCACTTTAATATATTGTAAGTTGGTTTTGGGAGCTGCGGTGGCTCAAGTGGTTAAGACGCTGAACTGCAGGCTGTGGAAGGTCAGCAGTTCAGCCGTTCGAGACCCGGTTGCCGCATGACGGAGTGAGCTCCCGTCTCTAGTTCCAGCTCCTGCCAACCTAGCAGTTCGAAAGCAAGAAATTGCAAGTAGATAAATAGGTACCACTTCGGTGGGAAGGTAACAGCATTCCGTGCGCCTTGGTGTTTAGTCATGCCGGCCACATGACCACGGGAACGTCTTCAGACAGCGCTGGCTCTTCGGCTTTGAAACGAAGATGAGCACCGCAACCCTAGAGTCGGATTCGACTGGCTTTCGAGCAAGGGAACCTTGACCTTTACTTTTACTAAATTGGTTTTAATGAATTGTTTATGGACTGTTCGATAGGACTGTTTTTAGATGTATATATTTATTGTTCTTGTGCTTTTATTATGTGAGCCGCCCTGAGCCTGCTATGGCGGGGAACAAATCTAAATCAATTAATTAAATAAAGACATACTTTCCCAGCAAACCATAGTTTGCTCCTCTGTCCAAACAGGCCATCCCTGTCTTGTGCGTTCCCAGCCAAACAAGATCCCAAAGTCTCATTTAATCTGATCTGACATAACAGGCAAGCTATGGAACGCTGCAAAAATGAAGCTTTTAATTAGTGGACTGACCAGGCCTGGAGAGATGAGGGGGCGGGTGAGCTCAAGAATCCCTCCTTGGCAGGGCCCCATGATCTGTGAACCTCCAGGATCCCTGGCCAAACTGGCCTGGAGAAAAATGGCTTCATGACCCCAAAGTGGCGATCAGCATTTCCCTGGGTGTGTAAGAAAGGGCCACAAGAACTAAGCACTGAGGCAACCCTTCCTGCCCTCCCTTCTCGTGATCTGCCTAAATTCACAGAATCAGGAGAAGAAGAGAGAAGAGACTGGATTTATATCCCGCCCTTCACTCGGAGTCTCAAAGCGACTTACAATCCCCACAACAGACACCCTGTGAGGAAGATGGGGCTCAGAGAGCTCTGAGAGAACTGTGCCTGACCCAAGGTCATCCAGCTGCTGCATGTAGAGGAGTGAGGAATCAAACCACTCTTAACCACTACACCAGCAGAAGAGGCCTGACTCTTTAGCGTGCTCAGAATAACGGTCAATGCACTGCACTTCGAGAAGACCGGCCCCACTTGGAAGAATCCTTACCGGAATCACTAATTGTTTTCCTTTGTACATGCAAATGTGCCCTAATTGGCTGACTCTGCCTGTTGCACCAAGTGAACGAGGCGGACAGAATACACGGCAGCATCCATGCTGTGGAGGACAAACCAAATCATCTCCAGCCTTTAAATGTGTTCAGTCCACATTCACCCCCCTCCAACGTGGCCAGAAGACAGGTACGGCAAGAACAATACGTAACCCAAGCAAAGTTCCAGTAGCGACTCTAAGGCAACAGATGGAAGTAATTCTTCCAGGAGCTGGTAATACTGTAGGTCTGTAGGGGCAAAGGAAGCGTTTCGGCAGCTGCTTAGCAACTAGGCCAGGCCACAGCACGGCAGAAGCTGAGGTGCAAAAAACGGCTCAAGGTTTCTTCGAAAGGGAATTAGGACAAATCCCCTCACTCAGTCTCAGCCTCCTGACTCCCCTAACCAAAGGGACTACTTCTGACCAGCGGGAGTGCACAGGAGCGGAGCTCTGGCAATAAAGAGCCCAGGGGGCGTGCACATGCAACAAGCCCCACCCCCTGCTCCCAGCAGCCCTCAGTCAGAGCAAGAAGCAGCCAGGTAAGTTGCAGAGCCCCCTCGTCCCCCGGTCCAAAACAGTCCAGTGGCACCTTTAAGACCAAGTTTTATTCAGGTACAAGCTCTCCCTCCTCTGCGAGAACAGATCTGCACGTCCCCCCGTCCCCCCCCCCCAATAGCTAGCAATCCAAAACAGTCCAGTGGAGCCTGAGTGGTGGGTGTTGCCTTCTGACACACTTCCGGTGATGTCAGGGGGTGTGGCATATGCAAATGAGTTATGCTAGTGAGTTATGCTAATGAGCTCCTTGCACCTCTTTTTCTACGAAATGCCCCCTGCTTCTGACCCTCAGATCAGACATCCCCACAAGCTGCTTACTTCTTTCCACATCTAGGTTCTACCCAGGCCCAGGTGGGGTGCTAGCTTGCCAGGACTGCTACATTCCTTTTCAGCTCCTGTAATGCTTGCTTATCTATGGCCTTGCAGGTGGGGTGTTGTGTCTGGGATGCTAGGGAACCGTGGGAGAGCTTTCGGTTCTCAGCTTCGGCTCTAACGGTCTGGGGATCTTTCTCCCGTGCGCGGGAATGTGGCTAATTGGCCTAAGGAGGGGGGGGGGTGCATACGAATACCCTATATCCCATTATGCTTGTAGGGGCGACATCATTCTTAACAGTGCCTTTGTTAATGCATTTATAGCTCTTCAATAAAGTATAACTTTTCCATGAAGCGTGTACTCAGTTGTTGGCTGTGAAGCCTGACATGGGGCCTCTGGGGGCTCCACCCCCTTTCTTACAGGCACAGCCGCACAGGAATTTCTCCTGTAAATGCTTTTTTTCAATCATTTTAAAACATTTTTTAAAAGGCATGCGCTCTTTTAAGCAGAGTGGGGTGCTGTCGTGGACTAACTCCCACAGTGAGCAAGGGGGTTGGAGTAGGTGGCCTCTAGGACCCCCTTCAAACTCTGTGTCAAACTCTCCCACTGTTGCCCCCCAAGCACCAAGAACACAGACCATCACTGCCCCAGATATAAGAACATAAGAGAAGCCATGTTGGATCAGGCCAGTGGCCCATCCAATCCAACACTCTGTGTCGCACAGTGGCCAAAACCCAGGGGCCGTCAGGAGGTCCACCAGCAGGGCCAGAACTCCAGAAGCCCTCCCACTCTTGCCCCCCAAGCACCAAGAATACAGCACATCACTGCCCCAGATAGTGTGTTCCATCTATAGCTTGTGGCTAACAGCCACTGATGGATCTCTGCTCCATATAAGAACATAAGAGAAGCCATATTGGATCAGGCCAATGGGCCATCCAGTCCAACACCTTGTGTCACACAGGGGCCAAAACCCAGGGGCCATCAGGAGGTCCACCAGCAGGGCCAGAACTCCAGAAGCCCTCCCACTCTTGCCCCCCAAGCACCAAGAATACAGCACATCACTGCCCCAGATAGTGTGTTCCATCTATAGCTTGTGGCTAACAGCCACTGATGGATCTCTGCTCCATATAAGAACATAAGAGAAGCCATATTGGATCAGGCCAATGGGCCATCCAGTCCAACACCTTGTGTCACACAGGGGCCAAAACCCAGGGGCCATCAGGAGGTCCACCAGCAGGGCCAGAACTCCAGAAGCCCTCCCACTCTTGCCCCCCAAGCACCAAGAATACAGCACATCACTGCCCCAGATAGTGTGTTCCATCTATAGCTTGTGGCTAACAGCCACT